AGTAGGGGGGGGGGGGAGGACCATATCACAAACAGGAGAACAGCTGGGAACAACTCTGCAAATCCTTTGACCGATGCGAAAAGCAGAGTGAGGTATCAGCATCTCTCCGTGGCTAAGAAACGCACACAGCCACCTTGTCCTTGAACTCAGGAGCCACCTGATCCAGGAGTCCGATGGAAACGGCTCGAGTGCGGACATCGCTGATTCGCAGATTCTCAAGAGCCGGTGTAGGCTTTGTGTAAGCTCGCCAAGGAGACTTGGAACGCAGAGTAGACTTCTTGCAAATGGTTGGCCTGGCAACAACCCGATTGAAGATTCGATCGAACATGCACTCCGCGCAAACCTCGGAGGTGTAGTCGAGCTCAACGGAGAACTGTTGTTTCACCTGACACTCACAGAATTGGACGAAGGCTGACACATTGACAGCTTCTGCCTGACGCAAGATGACCAAGGCCTCCGTGTTCACCTTCGCTTTCGGAAACGCAAGGCATGAAGGAACAGTGCTTAGATTCACCAGAGTCTCAGTAGAGCTTTCGCAAGTCTCCAATTCTTGACACAACTTCCGACATCAAGTGAGTGGAGGGGCGGCGCACTGAAAATCACTGCGGTGTCTCCAAGGGCTCGGCAAGTCGCAGCAGCAGCTCCAGGCCTCTCCGGCGCGTACGGCATACGCGATGCCGCGATGCGCTGCCCTGCAGACTCTGCTTCCAAGAAGCATCGGAAGTCGGCCCAAAGCATGCTCGCGGCATCCGGATACCTCGGGGCGGTCCGATGCAGCACAGCTCACACTTTCAATGCGATACCACTGATGCCCAAATAGAGCAATAAAGCATCAATCGCCAAGGCGCTGGACCTTGACAACAGCTGGCCTTCAAATCGAGTAGTTGCACCGGCAGGAGTGCAAGCAGTGTTAAGACCTGTCTGCATGTGCTCTGCACAAGCTGCCTGCCGCGCCACATCACACGGTGAGCCTGCAGCCGGCTTGGAAGATCTTGGAAGCGTGGTAAAACAGTACAGCCACGGCCTGGCCGATGCTCGCGGCACCGAGAGGCTCGCAGTCGATATCCTCAAACACCTCCATCAGAATTGCGTTTCAACACTGGGACACAAAGACCTCAGCCCCCAATTATGCCGCAATGCCCTGAAGTAAAAATTACAACCCAGGTCTCGACATCTGGACAGTCACGTTTTCTGGCTGTGTGGTGAAAATGCCGCCTTGGATCACCCAGATTGGTGAACCGGTCGCGACAGTTCAGTGCACATCAGAATGCCAATAACTGTCACATGGCTTGGCATTCTGAAGGGCCCGGAAACGCGAAAATCACTCAACACATGGAGACCGAAGCACAGTGCCACTCCTCCACAAAGACTGCTGGCCACTGGCAAAGACAGATGCCACGGCTCCCTTGAAACCAGAGGAGATCGAGGGGATTTCTACACTCATCCACGCGGCTGCAGTTACAGCCGGGTAACATGATTTCGGGCTTGTCCGCGAACTGTTGAACACTTTCGGGATGCCACGTACTGCAATTTCTATGTAGTCATACGACTGCACGATCAGTTGCAACTGAGCAAGGACACGCCACGCACGACTGCAGTCTACCATGCAGCCCTACTACAGAGCAAAATCAGAGAAGGCTCCTGGGGCTGGAAATATGTCGCAACGGCCCACTGATTCAATGGGAATCTGGCAATGCGAGAACCAGTTCCACATGACCTTGTAAACGGCGACTGAAAGGAGCTGCAGGAAAGAGAACTCGCAACCTTGCTTTGAGAGTTGCACAATCCCTCGCCGCGGAAGAGCGTTCAAGGACAGAGTCAGAGACGGCGCAGGAACACATGGACAAAACACCTAGCGGTGCTGCTTTAAGGGGAATACGAGTATGTTTCACGGGCAGCACTAACTGGAGAACATGTGGATGTACATCGACATGCTGCCCTTGAATGCTTCTCAAGCTCTAACTTGGTGAATGTATTGAGCTATCAGACAAGTCAGCGAGGAAACTGGACGAGAGGGTGCATCGGCCCTGTTTGTCATTGGCAGTGGAAGATGCTATCCTGCCAGCCGCGAATCCACGAGCGGCACCGGAAAACAGAAGTTCTAGCAGCGCTCCTTCAAGTGCTCGGGGGCGTCTTAGCTTTGCTTGCAGTAGCTCGCTTCTGCGCCCGAGCCTGACGAAACAGCCCCAAACAGCCAAACAGCAGACGCAGAGCCAAGAGCCAGAGCTCTCGCCTGGCGCTTGTAGAGTGTCTGCTTTGCTCGCACATCTTCCTTCAGGGCTGGCTTTGGATAAGTAAAATATGTGAAAGCTTCCCGCGGGTCCAGCGTGCAAAGGTGGCAGAATTCGCAGGCGTCGCCCTTCTGGCAGCCGTCTGCCTCCAAGCACGGCAATTATGTCGTCTCACGCTTCTTTCGCTGCCGCTGATCGCCTTTATGCGGAAGTACGCACATGGTCGACAGCTGCCAACATCATGAGCGGAGGCCTTCGGTTCGACGCAGGGCGGGCACTGGAAAGGTATTGCAAGGCCGTATAAGGCACGTGACGTGCGCCTGGTTGAAGTCCATGGCGGAGGCCATGGTGGCGGTCCCTGTGACCGTGGCCTCCTGGAGGGTCGGAGCTTCCGTGGAGCACCTCCAGGCCCAGGCGTAGCCGCGAGCAAGAAAGCAAGGGCTCTACGCCAGAACACAACCTGAAGTTCGTTTAACCGCCTTTCCCTCTGAGGCTTCTGCGAGGCTCCGGTTTCGTCCCCCTCCTGAGGCACATAGCTGCAACGCTCTGCAACGCTGGACCCCTCCCTTGGCTTCGCACCTTGCCATCTCCATCAATCTGCACTGGTGTCCTGAAAGTGCCATTGCGTGGCAGGTTCGCAATGGACCATGGATGCTGCAGCTTCACAATGTCTCACACGTCCACAACCCACATAACCCACCACACTCCTCAGATCAGGTGGAGACGAGGCCGTTCTGCGGCTTCGGGCAGCAGATGATGCAAACCTCGTGAGCCCGAAGCCTGGCCTGTTGCCTTTAAAGTACGTGTGGAACTATGAATTTTGCAAGTCTATGCATGACGTATCTGACTACGCCCGGCAACTCGTCCTCCTCTGGAACGTGCACGAAAGTGTTTTTGACCTGCCGATGCCGAGCGGCAACCCATGCATGCAGGATGGACAAGATTCGGCAAGATCGTGCAATTATCATACCCCGTCCTCAAGAGCTTGCACAGGAATCAGGCTCGCTTTCCAATCCAAGTGCCACGAACTGTCTGGGCCGCCTAGCACTCGCGAAGTTCAGGTGCCCTGTCTCGACTGAAATCTTTCGCCAACGAACAACTGCCAGACAAGGCCTTTACGCTCTGGCGTCAAGCTGCCCTTCCAGTCAAAGGAAAATGGCTCACCCATTCGGTACACCTGCCGAACATCGGAATGCTGATGTGGTTCTACATGTCAGCCACCACAAATCAAGCCAACACGAAAGAGAAGTTCTACATTGTGGCTGCAAGCTTGACTGCGGACCAGCTGCGTCCAAAGATAGCGTTCCGGAGCAGCTCAACACTCCATCACGGCGGTGCATTTGCAGACGTAACAAAATCTCTGATGAGTGGCAAGACATGGCATGGCTTCCTTTCGATCTCGCTTGGCTTTCATAGCAGGGCTCGTCCAACAGGATACACAATTGTGTTCGGACATGTTTCGCATGCCAAACCATGTATGAGCCCGGCGGCTTCCAAAGTTCAAAACCTTTCGCAGCCAAACCAAACAACAGCCAACTACGTTGTGCTTGGCTGGCTTCCTATCAATGCTTGCAAAGCCTCTGCGACTGAGGCGCCCAAGTCTCGCTCCAACACAGCACCTTCGGGAATTGTCAAGAATGACTCTGCGCATCTCGGACTGATATTTATACAGCCGAGGCTATCCCGGAAGTGCATTCCGCCTGTTTTCAGCTCTGCGAGCTGCGACTTGCTGCGGGCTATAACTTGTAGCAGAAGGACTTGAAGGACTGATTAGGCAATACGACATGCGCGCGACCTCACACAAAAGCATTCTCCATCCCGTGACCTGCAGACTCTCCCTCCCAACATACGATCTTTGCTGGGCATCGGGCGGATGGGCTCCCAGCGGGCTGGCGGAGCCATGTCCTGGAGCCTCAAGCACGGCAAGACAACCTCAGTACCTATACGTTTGGATTTCGCGAAGAACACATCGGCCTTATGGAGGGTAGACAAGCCTGACTGCGAAATGATGGGTGAGTGGAAACCCTCACTTAATTATCACGTATTGCAGCAAACGTTGAAAACTGTTCCATGTCCCATACCCACTTACCCGCGCAGGCTGACAGTGGGTGTGGACGCAACTGTCCACATCTCGAGAAACTCGGGCGACGTGCGTTGCCGACTTCTTGGTACTTCCTTGATATGATACACCTCTCTCACAATCGAAAAATAGCCACAGACTGGGCGGCGGCTAGAAGCTGAGGCAAAGTGCTTTCGAAACTCAAGTCGGTACTCTTCGGGAACCGCCTGGAATATACAGCTTGCTCAGCAATCTGAATGATTGGGACTATCCGCGTTTGTCGACCCTCGGAGGGCCTCGGGGCGCACACTGAGCACCTGGGCCACCTTTGCACGGCTTCGGCACTATCGGCACTTGCCGGGCCGAGTGCACGTCGACCAAGCCTTGACGAACATGCCCCGGAGTTCCTGCCAAGACACTGCACTGCGACTTGAGGCCACGCGGCCCCGCTAGCTCTACAAAGGCACTGCAGACTGGGCCAGCGTGACGGCGCGCATCCAGTGATTTCCGCGCACTTTCTGAATTATGCTGTGGCCTTATTGGACGCTGGGTGCTCTTCCGAACTATGTCGGGGCTCGGCGGTTGTAGTACCTGTGGGCCGCAGGTCGGAAGTCGACACATCCGGTGCTCATTCCATCACAATGACTACGTGACTACGTTTGTGCGGATAGCCTCGTTCAGCAGATGAGGTTTCATCGATTTCGTAAGGCAATCAGCTAACTGCAGGTCCATAACGTTTGGCGTATGCTTAACTGTTTGTCTTCGACCTGTTTCGGAATGGGCGAGAAAAAATGGTCCGTCAGGCTTCTGCAGCACTGCAGTCGCTGTACTGGACGTGCAACATGCTTCGTCTAGCCACTTCCTCCCATTGTCCTCGAACCCGTAGCTTTCCCATGATTTCAAGCACGCTGGCGCACGGGTGATCTTGACCTAGTTAGCAGGTTCGCCCGTCTTATCTTCGGCAAACGTTCGGCTAGACCTAGTCTCGGGGATCGGTGTCCCAGGCGCTCGAGATGAGATTGCGGGCGTACTAGGATTGGGTGTCCCGGGTGCTGCTGCCACAAGTGGTCGCGGCGTCGCCACCGGATCCACACCCCGCTCATCCGCGTACCTCTGCTCAGGCCCATTCACGATGGTCTCCGGTAGCACACGATGAGCAGCAACTTCGATTCTGTCTCATCAAGGTCGCATCTTTTCGGGCATTAACAAGGACAGGTACATTCTCATGATCGAAGCAGCCAGTACGCCTTCTCTGCCTCGCGACCTGTGACACGGCTGTAGACCAAACCAAACTGTAGACGTGGAACCAGGGACGTTGTCCCGCCTGTAAACGACCAGATCGCCGACGTTACACTCGGCGTCAATGGGCGCGGCATTTCTCTGTAGCGCTTTAGCCTCCTTGCGGGATGTGTCCACATGTATAAATGCCTGGCTTTTCCATCCGGGCCATGTGTCGCAAACAAAACGGACTCGTTTCATCATACCGAGCATGATAGGTACCCAAACTCTCAAACTCATCAGCGATAGATCCGGGAGCTCGGGGTTGTTTCCGTAGCACATGTTGCGCTGGGCTCAAGCCTTGTCGTGACAACTCGTTTTTGGTGGTGGCACACTCAGACAGCACTGTCTCCATCTCCTCGATATTCAAGGGCTGGGATTCCTGAACTGTTTTGCGCAACAGCGCTTTAATAATACCACCGTGCCGCTCCACTTGCCCTATCGTTTGTGGTGACTCCAGCGGCGCATCGTGATAACCTATACCATGCTGCCCAAATACTGGGCGAAATCGCCCTTGAAGTCGGTGCTTCGGTCAGTAACTGTGCTACTGGGGTGTCCTGCCCAAGAGATCCATGTCTCCGCTAGCACTTTGAGGCACTCGTGGGCACCAGGGTTGCCGCCAACCTTACCCATTGTTACCTGCTGAAAACTCGTGCCTACCTCAACTATGTTGACGGCTGTGCACCGTGGGATCAACTACCTACTTCTCTTTCTTGGTCTTAGTAACCGTACCACACTTCTTGCATGTCCGCTTTTCGATGTATGCGTTGCTACCGGTCTTGCTGCATCCACTTCGGCACGGCGCCTGGAAGACGGATCTCGCCCCAGGCGACGCTGCTGGCTGCTCGGGCTCCGGGGATGGCCTTTGGCTGAGAAATGCTGAGAAGGTGTTCCCTTCGGGTAACCGTAGATCGGGGCCGAATCAACAACAACACAATACTCTTGAACCCGGTTCAAAAAAGTCACCGAGGGCCTCAGACAGGCACTTTTCCTTCCGGCCCCAGAGAACATAGCCAGGGTACGTATATAGTACCCGCTCATAAGTCAACCGCTTGCATTGGCCAGAGCAAAGCAGATCTGCGAAGCAGGGGGGACATGACTCCGTGCTAGAACACATTTAGCCAGCGATGACTTCAAGGCCATGAAACCTTGCGAAGCCGAAAATGAATTGCGAGAGTAAACAACCTCTTAATCGGAGTCATCCAGGGCCATGTGCCCCTGAGGCTTAGAGTTAGGGGGCTTTGCAAAGTCGTCCCTCCGGTCGATGCCTGGGTCGCTGCTGGTTTTGGCGAGGGGGCCCCAATTGCCTATCGTGCCGCAACGTAAACGTCGATTGCGAGCCTTGTGCTCGGCAAGCTTCGCAGTTTTATCCGCTATGGTAAGGCTGGACCTGATGACTTTCCCAGGAGTCCTTCCCTTGTCCTTACCCTTGCCCTTGTTTTTGCCCTTCGCCTGATTGAGCGTGTTTGTGGCTGCGTAAGCCAACTGAACCGCTTCTGCGTACTCTTCCCCAAGGGTATCTTCCTCGAGCTGCGAGGAGATAGCGGCATAAGAATTAAATAGAATTCATCTGCATTGCCTAATCTTCGTCGTCGATCCACATATCGCCTTCGTCGGCTAGTCCCGATGGCGTTATAGCCTGCGTACGCGTCGTGTTCTTCTTCTGATGGTATACCTTGCTCAACATCGGCGTCTTCGTCGCCGTAGCCGTAGCCAATGCAACCGTACTTTGGGCTGTGTTCTGCAGTCGTGCCACTCAGGGCTTATACCCTGGTCCGTAGGGCTGCGACTTCTCGGTGAGAAGCCTCTCCTTCATTTGCACCACAGAGTGTACGAGCAGCAAGTTTGATCATGAGCTGTTCCGGTCGGCTTAAACCGGAACGCTCACCGAGCAAGTTGCCTCACATGGCTTCCGACAGTCAGATGTCGGGATCCAGTTCCTGCAGCGTGGACCACCAACGCTTTCTGCATGCTATGTACGAAAGCATTGGTCCTCCCTGCTGTTTCGCTAGGGGCCCGGTGATCAACTGTGCCTGTCTGAAAAGCTCAGAAGCCTCCTCCGACTGGATGGGATAAGCTTGTCGAATATGTTCTATCAGATGGTCTATGCCGTCTATGCTATCCGGCAACAGCAAACACTTCCAAACCGATGTCTCTGGTTATGCTGAAAGCGCCGCCTCTGAGGCCTTCAAGTATCTTAGACACGCACTCCGACATGCCTATGTCAGCGTCGTTCACATCGGCCAAAGCAAGCACGGGCTCAGCATACGACCGGCCTTCATCATCGATATCACCATCGCCATCATCGTCTTCGTGGGCAAACGCGGGCTTGCCCTCCTGGCACTGGACAGGCTAGCGGCTATGCCGCTCGGCTCACCTCGGTGGGGTAGCCTGGCTCTGCAGCGTTTTGCTCTCTGTGACGTGAGCCGAAAGCCTTGGAGTCCTTTACTGGCCCACTTCCTCGGCGACTGGCTCCTAGCAAAAGCTGCGCCACGCATATCCCTCGGGACTTCTCGCCTCTGCTTTTAAACTCCTTGTGCTGCAACATGCGTATCCGTGTGCGAACCTCCCGGTCGTGATAGGCTGAGGCGGTGCCCGTATAATACGATCGTGACTTCGTCTCTGCGGGTGTGGCAGTGTGATCCTACTGGGTGGACTGAAACTTGAAGCCTGCAACACTCATGGCAGCTCAAACCCAACGAACTCTGGGTGAAACACTGGCGCTGTAATCCGACCGCTCCGCTACCAATTTGGAACGAATGTCAGCTTCCGGAGTTACAGCGCAGGTTACGTATTCGCACTTTGCCCTTGAGCGCAAGACGTCTACGGCGGGTCTTGTAACAAACACTATATACATGCTAGTGCAGTTGTGATCCTATACAAAGCACTGCAAGTAAGGTTCCTAAGCTGCAGAGGTCAACACGGCTTCTTCAACTACGACACAAAAGACAGGGGAATTTCACACAACTAATGACCGTGACGTTTGGTGACTGCATGCATCTCCCCCACCCACCCACCCGCCGCACCTGCAGGCATCGCCACGGACGGTCTTTCCGAAAGCTCTCACTTACCCAGTTCCCCATTGTCGTGCGGCGATTCGAAAGGACTGTCGAAAGCAGAATGTGATGCCAGCAGGCACCTTGAGAAGCATCGCTCGCCTTTGTCTGGTATAACTGTATAGCATTGTGAAAGGTGTTAGAACGATATTTTGCTGAATCGTTTTGGTCGCGGGGTCGGGTTTTTAATGCAGCTGCTTATATTCTTACCTCGTGTTTAGGGTTGGCATCCCGGATTCCGAGCTGTGCGAGAATTGGCACAACGCTGCATTGGAGGATTCTGGACAACAACGTTCTTCTGTGCAGGGCGCGACATGGCCCATCATGATGTCATGGGGATGCTAACTGGATGTTCAGATAGCTTGCCTCCACCACTTCCCGGGCTCTTGATGCGTAGAGTCGGTGGAGCCGCTTGTACCGCACGTCGCGGTCAGAATCGTCCAGGGCACGCCAGCGCTCCAGAGAGTAGTGGGCAACCTCGAAAGACGAGTCGCAGAGGCGCACTATGGCACACTAAGAAGGCATATCAAACTTGGCGTGTGCTGAACCAAGATCTCGACGATGGGTCCCGTCAATTGCCAGAATCGCACCGACCGTTGAAAGCTGGAGTCCATGTGGTAAAGCGCAATGCCTCTGCAATTCAAGCCGGAGAGAGGTGAAGCAGGGGCGAGTGGGGCTGAGTAGCTGCGTAGGCTGAAGGGCTTGATTTTGCACTTCGTCTGGTGACTATTGGTGACTTCTGGTGCCAGAAGCTTCTTCTGGCACCAGATCCTGGTGCTCTACTTGTGCAAGACACCAGGGACAGACGAGGTGCGCATACAGGCATGACATGGCATGGTGGCCGAGTTGGAGTTCTACACAGCCGTGGGCATGGGATCCCTGGTCCCGGCGCCGGCTTCTGCGACCACCCTTGTCTGTAACATTCTGAAAACAAAACGGCGCGACTGCTGCCGATAGAGCACCAGGTGCCAACCCTCGTAGCAAGGGCGGAAGTTCAACAGTAGCAAGACATTGCCTTAGATATGTTGTATCTGCGCTGGCGAATGCATGGCGAATTTGGAGGGTGCTAGGCATGTCTCCATGTTTGCGTGCATGTCTATCTACTTATCTATCTATGTTCACATATACATTTACATTCACACTATCTGCGCGGATATCATATCACATCATATTAAATTATATCCTGTTCGAAGTGCGCCGAACTGGGACGGCTCCTATGGACATGTACGACAAAGACGGGAAGCACAGAAAGCTGCATGACCAAAGGCAGACGTCATGGAAGAGAGACGACCGGACAACGTCGGTGAAAGATTTGAAGCCTTAGCCCAGAATCAAATCTTCGGGAATGGCAAGCATCGCTTGGATTGGGTTCTTCCGGAAGAGCGAAGTTTGGGACTCAACCACTACTAAATCAAACCAACAAGCTTTCCTCATGCAGAGACGTTCCTAGCATCCAGAAGTCAAACAGGACAACTTCAGCTGCTGCACATGGGAGGCGAGCTGCATGCCGCCGCAGCACCACATCCTGCCCCAGTGCCATAGCCTGATCGTAGTGAACATCAGAGCATGTCAAGATACGTACGCTATTCACGGTACATGACCTAGGTGCAAAGTGGCTGCATGCATTGCAGCATTTGTCAGCGAATCAATGGGACAGCCAAGCCGCGGAGCACACGCGATGTAGCTGCCAGGCGGTACCACATTCGTTTCGACTGGCTTGGTTCACATCTCGCACGGAACCGAGGATGATGCATTCATCACTCATAGATTGATGGGCTGATTACTGACTTCGTCCCAGTGGGAGGTATAGTTCAGACCTGCAGTTGTATGCCATTTAGCTGAATTGATGTTGGATGCACTTCAGATGACTTGTCACTGGCAGGTGCAGCATGGTGCAGCACATTCTGACCATGAGGCAACGGAAGGGCACCGGCCGTGCCAGCTAGCAATCCCGCACATGCCCGCACACTGCTCACAGCTAAAGACACTGCTGGGGGTCGATGCACCCGTCGGGCTTCATCAGCCATCAACACGTAGAAGTCCTGCAGATATCTGCAAAACCCTGGATACATGACAGGCTCGAAGACTTCGGCTGTTTTCTACCCCTGCTCCTCCGCAGTGACAAATCCTTTGCCATCTCGGTCTGCATGCTCGATCATGACCTCGATTTCCTGCGCAGCTGACGAAGTTTCAAGAGTCTGTTTGAAGCTAATCTGCTGCAGCGGTGGCCCCTGGTCAGGGTTGATAATTTCTGTGCGCCTTTCACTGCGTCAAGCCCCTGCCTCACAACATATCAACATGAGTCAACAGTCAGCCAGAACCCTGTCTCTGCGATGGCATCCACAAAGTACTGTAAGATCGGCCCTGCATATGCCTGGATGCTTTGTTAGAAAACATAATTAGCGATAAAGAACAATTTGGTGATATGATACAATTGTAATGCACCCCACATACGTGTGCGAGAAAGACTACATCCTCTTCATCCCGTTCCTTGCAATGAGGCATCGACCTTGGCAAAAAGTTATTGTTCACCACATGTTCGGCGCGGAGTCTTCTACCATGCCAGCTGCTCAGCTCCCGTAATTCAGGAGTTGTTACCTGCAAGATGGCATGAGTTCCTGCAAACAACGCTTGAATAGGTCTCTTGGTCTTCCACCTACCAGTACTTCATCGGAGTTGCATGCAGGGGAGCGTTTGTACAAGCGCAACTTTCGTTTGACGGCGGTCTTTGCCGTCGAAATGCCTCCGAGCTCAGACAGGCATGCTTGAAGGCGAGAGCCCGGGCCCCTGGCGATCAGCAAAACACAGAGTGCAATACGAATCGCTAACAAAATCGCAAGGTGAACGGCGGGAGTCGCTGGCCTCAGTGCCAAACACAAACGGAGAGAATGAGAGGGAGAGAGAGAAAGCTCGAGTCCTAGAGAGATGGGTGAACTAGGGCGCAGACTCGCCGGGACTGGCAGTTGGCGTTGCCTGGCTTTTCGGTCTGAGCGGCCAACCCAAGATTGGAATGCAGAACATCGTCGATCCGGCTCACGTGGCAAAAGGCAGAGCGACCGTCTGCTGGCTTGTTTCCTTTGGAGCCTCCAAACCGGCACCAGTTGCCTGAGTACAGAAACAGATGGCATAACTGTGTCTGAGTCCCTGCAGAGCTTTCCTCATCAGCAGCACCTGCAATGCTGGCGAAGGCAAACCGTATGAAGCCGTAGGCCTAAGATCGCCAGGACATCTGTGCGTCCTGTGAAGTATCAAGAAAGGAGCTGAGCTTTGCACAGGCCAGGCAGGCTGTAGCCGCCAGTGGGGCTCCTCAGTTCTGCTTCTCAACAAACCCACATGTGGCAAAAGTCCTGAAAGCACTTTAAGCCCTCCGCACTCCACATGTAGCAACCTCCCATCGTTTGGGCTTACCACGCCTCAACGTGCCTGTAGCCAGCCTCAGCACCGGCCGTCCACAACCTCGGGATAGGCAAAGCTCATCAAAGCCTTCATCCTCATCAGGACTTGGGGGACTGGCGCCACAACAAAGATCCGGCTGCTTCTGTCCTGCTCGACTCTCCAAGCCAAGGTGACACGCACAATTCAACGCTCGTTCACGCCTGGTTGTGGGCCCTGCACATTTATGCACACAAGTCATTGCAGAACCAGTTCCAAGTGTAGGTCCTGGCAGGTCCTTGTCTGTTTGTGTGCCGCTTTCGTTGTCTTTCCAGGCCAACAGGTCATTGCAAGCTGCACCCCCCCTGGCCTCTTACCCTCCTACCCGTAGAATGAAGATCACGGAGGGGGCTTCTGGCGGGCTCTGAGCATGCCCGCTGTTGCTAACCATGATCTCCATCTGCCTTGTCGTTTAAGAGCATACCAATACGTCCAAACGCATTCCTTGAGCTCCGATTCTGATGCCATGGTACGGATACGGACAACCGCCCGACCTCGGATGCAGAAGCCACGACGAGCTGTGGCTTTCCATTCACCTCGTGACTCAGACGCAGATTTGCAGATGAGTTGGGAGTTGCAGCATTGCGCCTCGCCCAAGGACAAGTCCAAACCCAAGACTGTCTCAGAGTGGCCCTGACGACAGAAAGGAACAAAAAGAGCACACTATGCAACGATTTTGCAAGGATGTGCTGCGAATGCTGCGATTCCAGATCTCTCTTCCTCTCACCGACCTGCAGAGTTCTTTGGCAGTCGCCAGACAAGCCATTGAACCTCGAAAGACGGAAGGAAGGCAACGTAACCGACGTTTTAATCCGCGCGACGCCCTCTGTCCCCGAGAGCTTACTCTGCAGAGCCCGTGGCAGTCTTAATGTCTTGTCGGTCGAGCAGGTGCAGAACCTTTGGCTGACAGGATGCAGATGGATGCAGCAGGCCGTTTCGACAATCACCCGCATGTACTTCGCCAGCGTTCGCCGGTTGCATGAGACTCCCCTGACGCTGTTTTGGAGATTGTCGCATAGAGGCACCTTTGGGCTTCTGGACACAAAGCCGGCTAAAGCCGACGGTGTGAAACACGACACAAATATAAACAGCAAGCATAATTCAGCTCACCAGCGGGGGCATCACACCGAAATCATCCATTCTCTGTTTTGAAAACATGGAGAGCCGCTCGAGAAGCGAGCTCCACCAGCGTCAGACGCCCAGAAGGCCTGCCGCGGCGAAACATAAGCGGCTGTGGAACGGAAGAAAGGCTCCCTGGTGACCTTCTTTTGGGCAGTCGTCGTCCACATTAAAGCCGGGCATCATGAAGCCCATGCAGAGCTTCGAGTCCTGCACACCAGCACTCAGGCGTGAGCAAGGCCTGGCCAAGCTCAAGTCTCTCAGTTCGTCAGTGGCAACTCGGGCTCTCCTTGGCGTGGCCCTCCATGCACTGATCACAACTTGGGCCCGGTGACTTGCATCCCCACTGGCAGCTTGGGTTGACATGCCGGACAGCGCATGTGCCAAGAAATTGCAAGAGATGCAAAAACAAACATGAGCAGCCACCTTGCAGTTATCCACACCGTATGCTGCAGTGTCGCCAAGGCCTCACTTCGCTGTCGCTTCGCTTGAGCTGCAGCTTGCAAGAAGGTCACGTTTCCGGAGGAGCTATGCTATGCCAAGTGGCACGTGGCACAAGTGTTGGACAGGCCGGGAACAGCCTCAGTAGACTGCACACTGCATTATACTAAGGACCCGCGAAGTGAAGACTTGAAGAGGCCTGCTCGAGGCAGCTTATAAACTTGTCTTTCTTGAGGGAAACTGGAAAGTACCTGGCATGGGAAAGTGCTGGATTTTTGTCGTCGGGTTCTACTCGGCTATGCGGCCCAGCCGCGACATCGAGTTGCTAGCACAGGTCCGGCTAGACTTCTGAAGTTCACCGGCACTGGACAACCTCACAAGGCGACGCGCTGAAAAGCAAAACAACTCCGAACCAGAGCCTGCAGAGAAGGGTGTACTCCGCTTTCGTGCAGTTGTTGTAGGTCTGAGCGTGTCATGACAAAGAACTGGCATGTAATTCATTGTGCGTTGTTCCGCTCTCTTTTTGCTCTGTCTCAAGGCTGGTCACCCCGAGGCAAGGGCTAGAGGATCCTCAGTGGCAGTGGTAGTCGTAGTTGTCGTCGTCGTCGTGCTCGGGCGTGTGTACTTCTTGCCCGTCTTGCCCTGGCCGGTGGAGCAAAAAGCGCAACAGGCTGTGCTCGCGAGCTTTCGCTACGCTGGCGTGCGACCTCGAACTGTCCGCACGCCTCGAGACTGTCATAAACTCGGTCCAGCTCCTCTCTCACAGCCTCGGGCTGCAAAGGGCTCTCATCAGCTTCGCTTCCTAAAGCGCGGTCGCTTCGAAAAGCCTCAAGGCGACTCTCCGCTTGCACCGCTCGAGTTAGAAGCTGCCTGGCGTCCTGGCGGCTGCGGATGCACGGCAAGCCGCAAGCGCAGCACATCGCAACGCACAGTGGCGACAAAGGCCACAGCTGCGCTTCGAGAGCTGGCCTCCAACTCTTTGAGCTTGCTGTGGGCATCCTGCGAACTTAAGTCACTGCGGCTGTTCATCAAGGCTCTCCGCACTTTCCCTGGGACCGAAGATCGCTGCACGACAATCAACAAGACCGCACCTCGTTCCGAAGAACAACCGACAACACATTAAGCACTGAAGGCCTCAACCAACGGGGGGTGATGCTGTTATGTAGTGGTCACCAGCTCAACAGGCGGGTACTCTGAGTAAGTGTCGGGGTCGAGCTCTGCGACTCTCCGGAAGAACTTGGCTGGCAGGGCAGAGAGAGAGAGAGAGAGAGAGAGAGTGAGTGGGGCTCCAAGAGTTCCGGCTTGGCGACACACGGCATCCTGCTGCTGCGTCTCCAGGTCAAAAAGTCGAGTTGAAATCTTCGCCTACAGACGAGCAGAGCAGAGAAGGGAAGGAGTGCGGAGATCGTTGGGCCTCCAAGGACTTCAAGGCGGAGTCTGCTTGCCAAATGGCCACCAGGCAGCTCCTAGGCGACCAGACCACGTGCTCAGAGTTTGCACCAGACACGACCGCTGAGATGAAGGCAATACTGCAAGAAGTGCGAATCCAACTGCGGCTTGCACCGCGCCCTTGACCTCCCACAGATGCACTTGAGACCTGCATGCCAGCATGGCCCATGGCTCGACTCCGAAAGCCCCTGCCTGTGAAGGAGGAGGAGTTGTCGTTGGAGTCTCCATCTCGAAACTACTACGAGCCATTGCCACTGGCTATCAATTGACTCAGGCTCAGTTCGGTCTTTGCGCGGAGTAACATCCCTTCCCATTCAGTGCATGCACTGCAGTTTCAAGGAAGATCCAACATCAACCGGACTTCGTTGTGGCTACTACTTTACACATCCCGATAACTTATACAGCTGTCTTCGACTCTTGGGGCTTGCGGCAACAGGCGGCGCCCGCACAGATACTACCGAGCCCTGCGAGCCCCGCGAGCCCTGCGAGCCCTGAGGCTCCACAAGGCCACTACCAGTTCCCGAACGTGGAACCGGGCAGCCACTTGAGCTTGACCTTGGCTATGTGGCAAGGGAACTTGCGCATAGCTACTGGTATTTACAGTGACTCTGCTCCTGGAGTGCAGTGTCCCTTCCAACTCAGATCAAAACAATACCACCCTTCTCGAAGTGATCCTGATGTGGCTTGGGCGTCCCGGCAGAAGGCATGAGCATAGACTAAGTTAAGTAAAGGATTTCCGGCAACCCAAAGCTGTGCAGCCCTAGGATGTCGGGTCGCGCAATTTAAGTGGCTGAGTTGGCTTCAGCGGACTTCGCCCAGGCCTTGTGACTTGGGCCTGCTCCCGGCTTCCGATAGCCGATGCGATGTGGAGACGAGGGGTCTTTCGCGGGTTCTTAAAGAAGACATACAAACAGCGGAAAAGCACTTCAAGTCATTTACCTGCAACTCTTATTCGAATGCCAAGACTATCCGCCGCACCCTGTCCCGCTCCCATGTTTGCACTTCAATATGAAGATTCATGAAACTGTAGATTGCATGCACAAAAGACAGAATCGAAATGCAATGCCCCCAGTTTTGGCAAGAAGGCAATCCCCTTTAGCAAGACTTGATGTCACAAACTGCAAAAAAAATCCAGCAGCGGCCAATCATCTGGGTGCCTTTATGGTGCAGCGAAGGTCCATGGACTTGGCATCCCAAATCTGAACCTCATCGACTCATCGACATCTTTCACGGGCTACATCGGTTAATTGCTGGCTACATGGTTTAATTCAGGGAGCCGCGCCCAAGGCCCCGACCGTGCCATCCATGCTTCCAGTTGCGAGCAACAGCGTGCTCTTCGGAGGCGCGTTGCTAAACCTAACTCCGGCACACTCACAGGGCTTATGCCGAATGAGCCTAAGTCCACTGCGCAACGGCTTCTACGGAATCGATGTGACCAGGTAAGGGCTCAAGCACCTGCCCAGGCCGATTTGGCGTCGCCCAGGGCAGTGCGAGGATGAGAGACAGAATAGCTTGAATAGCACATGTCGAGAGGGAAAGTTTCGAAGCCCGAGACCCGAGAAGCTGATCGGAGCTTTGCCTCTCTGCCTTGTAAGCCTACAATACGGAGCTTGCTTTCAGGGGCTTGGAACCTTCGCGGGACTCGCATCTCTGCTCTGCTTCGTGCTCGTTTACGGGGAACCTTCCAAGCTTTGGTGCTGGCTTCGTTGCTCACTGCTTTGATCCACTTAGCCGTCTGGCCATTTCCTGCTCACCGAGTGTTGCGGAGAAGGCGTTCATCCGAACTCGTCGGAAAGGGCGGCTATAGTCTATAGCTAGAGGACTGCACCAAACACACCCTGGATCTGTAACCTTGCCGGTCTCGATCTGCAGAATCTTGGCCGTGGCATCCTCCGCGCCGGTCACGACCTTGGAGGGCTTGATCTCTTGGATACGAAGAAGGACTGACAGGCTTGAACGCGTGGGCCCCCGGCGATTGGCGATTCGGGATGAGAGCAAATGGAAATGATCGAACTCTCATGAACCTACCAGGAACAAGCATGCGAAACCCACCGGCGGTGTGCTTTGGCAGAATCTACGAGCCTCTCTTATGTGATGCTGTGGCGTTCCTGCGCGTGGATTCCACCTACCGCCATGATCTGATCGATTCTGCTATCCCGGTAGGAAGGCAACAGGATCTGACGAACCATTAAGATGCTGACACGATGACACCATGATCTTCAGAACCAGTGACGACAACCTGCAGCACAAGACTTGTATGCCTGACTTGCTGCCGCGCACTGCGTGCATCAGGTTGCACAGATGGTGCCTTGCCACCTAGGCCCCAGCACCCGCACGTCACGCCTGCTCCGAGGTGCGTTTCAGAAGCGGAAGCTTCACCTTGACAGGGCTGCGAGCCTGCCGCGTGGCCTGCAAAAATCTGCATCACTTTGCCGCTGGGGGCCTCGGCAAGCTGACACAATGTGCCGTGGTGGGTTTTATAGATAGTGAGAGTGACCGGGCAATGCACCCACCACATCCATGCCATTGTGTCGTTCGACCCTGCGAGGATGGCATGGCCTCAAGCTGCGATCCGCAACTGTGCTCAACTGTACTCTGCAAGATCGCCACCCTTCGGATGCCACAGGATCCACTCTATCTCCTCTCGCAGGCAGCGAAGAGCCATTGCAAAAGCTGGGCCGGGCTTTCTGTAGCGTTGACACCTTTCCTTCGAGGGCCCCTCCAAGTGCTGCACCAGGGAGCCATCTCCAGAGTTCCAAATCCTGACTTCGCACTTCATAACTGCGAATCTGCGTGCCACATTAGAGCAGCCAAAAGTCCTCACCGTGCCATCATAGGAAGCTGTAGCCGCATAGGCTCCATCCGTGCTGAAGGCCACCTCTTGGGAAAGCCGGTGGCACGGAACGGGTAACGAGGCATGCAAGTCAGCAGGCCTCCACGACGGAGTCTGTGTGTCCTTGCCTGTTGGCATGCAACTTGGCTCTGACTTCATGCAGATATCGAAGCTGTGAGGCGATGACAAACGACACCTCTGGCTACACCTGAGGGATCCATCCTGACAAAGATCGCCGAGATTCTGGGCATTTCCGGATCTTTGAGCTGAAGTTGCCACCGAGTCCTTCTCTTCTATAGACCAGAGAACGGCAGAATCATCCTGCGTCGATACTGGATCGGGGAACAATAAGGTGTTTGGGTAATTAAAGGGCTTGCCCAGCACCGGACACATGTCGAGAGTTTTCTGCCGAGCCTCACGGAGGGCATCTCTGGCGGTAGCGGTAGTTGCGGATCACATGAAACATACCAAGTCCGGAGCTTCCTCCCCCACGGCGACAATCCGACCAAGAACGGAAGTGTGGCTAAAGACTGTCGCTGGGTGGCCGAAGACGGTTCGGAAGGGGGAGGGCGTATGTTCTGCAAAGGAAAGTTGAGTGGAAATGGTTCCAGAGCTACCGTCCCGCAGCTTCCTGCACCAGAGCTGGACATGCTTCGCTTCAAGAGCTGCGGCTTTGCACTGCACCGTCCGCGCTTTCCGCACCTCCTGCGCATGATATGGTCGTGCGCTGAGTGCGCTGCGCGTCCTGCATGTTCTGCGCCCCACCTCCCCCAATGGTATCCCTCCACCCCCTTCTGCGCGGTTCGACCTGAAACTTGAAGCCTCAACTCTGCAGCCTAAAGCGCCCAACAGCTCAAGCCGTTCCACAGGGGGGCGATGGCAGACCCATTGGGGAAAGGCCCAAACTTGGCCCAATTCCCTGCGCCGTCTGTGTACGCTCTCTGCGCCGCATACTCCAACTCGGCCTGTGCTGCCAGCGGCGTCTGCCATGTGCGCCTCCTGCCTGCGCCACCTGCTTGTTTCTCTCGCAGATGTCTGCAGCGTGCCATGCCTGCTCGGCGGCAAAGTGGTGTACGAGAAGCTTGATCAGTGTCTTGGAGCAGTGATCAGCGAAGATCCCTGCTGTCCGGACTGGTTCCAGCTCATCAGCGGCGAAAGCGCACGAAGTTCGTTCAAGCGATCTGGAGTCTATCGTCGTGTCCACAGTATATCGTACGTGAACGCGCAAAGCATCTGAACTTTGGACTCTTTGACTTCTGCCTTGCATGCATGCTCATAGAACTCGTTGCAATGTCTTTCTTGGACTCGTGAAATCAGAACTCTGATCCGTCTCATCCGAAAGGGAGCTTCTGTGCTTCTGGTGCACTTCAGGCGTGCAGGCGATGGAGCCGGGTCGCAGGTGTTCTGTTCGGAGAAGGATTTTTGTCTAGAGTTCAGGGTCTAAGGCCTGGGGCACCGGGTGTTGTGTCTTGGTCCTATCCGTTGGGCAAGCACCGCAATCGAAGCTCGCATTTCGTTAACGTGCTGGCTCCAAGATCTTCCAAATCTGGAGCTACCATGAACGTCTCAACGATGGCGTGCAACCCCGTGCTCGGTGTCGCTGTAAGATCCGAGTGGCACGCTCCGCGCGAATTCAAGCGTGCTAGGGCTGCTAGGGCATCAAACTGAGGTAACCAGAAAAGAACTTGCCATCTGCTCTAATGCCGTGCATAGAATGCTTTTGGCAAGCTCAAGGCATCTCAAGGCATAAGTTGTGGCTGCGTTCGGAACACGGACATTTCACTTGTCTGCATGAGGTATGTGACTGACCCCGGTGCACATGTCTACGTGCCGTTGCACGATTTTGTACCAGTGCACAGATCGCGCAGCAGCACATCGCCAAGGTTAGCACCACAGTAGTCAGAAACCGGGATGGGCCAGACAGGGGAACAAGTTTCCAAATGGCAGACATGGCATGTCTGTTCTGTTTATGTTTGCTGCAGGCTCGCCCAAGCTTGCCAGCAAGAGCATTATGGCGTGAACCAGAAGTCAGGTTTGTCCTCGAGGGTTCTGCTGACGGCATCTGCATGACATCGTTCAAAATCATATGTTTCATCATGGCCCCTGAAGACATTGCTCAGCCTCGTCAGCATCGTTTGTTGTTGGACACATACAAACGCTTTGCTACTAGCACCTCAGCCCTTAGGACCAGCATGTTTGCAGGATCACTCCAGCTCCTTCCAACGCTTTCCGCCCTCTCGTCGTCGTATGTCGTCGACGTTCACTTTTTCAGCTCAGGACGTCATAGCCCATGCTCGGCGTGGCTCTGTTGGGGGCTTCCAGTCAGGCTCTTTGGTCCCACTGCATGGCCTCTCAGGTAGTGGATCATTGCGTGCCGGCTGCCGTCCTGAGTCCTAGCATCTGATTCAGCCCTTCTCTTCCCGCCGTCCGCTTCCCTCTGCGGCTTCAATCGGCCCTGTGGGACCGATGGCCGCCGTGGCCACTGACTGTTCTGCATTAAGCTTCCAGTTCAGTACTTCGAATGAGTTCGTACTGAAGACTGTTGCAGAAGTTGCTGAAAAACACCGCTCCTTAGCTGGTAAACCTCAAGACAACAATCGTTCAACAACAGCGTCCTGTCCACCCGTGAGCAGAATACTCCTGCCACGAAGTTCATTTGTCGAACTGAATTGGCCCTGCATTCCACTACAGACACCTGTCTGTGGGGCAGATGGCCACCGACAGCACGCTGTCCTCGTGAACCTGCTGTCTCAGCCACCGCTCAGTGCCAGCAACACTCATTGACAACTAACTGGCCAAGGTCAGAGCGACTTTCGCCTTGCCATACAAACAGGCACAAGAACGTTGATCAGCTCGTGCCATGAAGCGAGCTCAGGCCAGCGACCAACGCATCGTCAGTTGTAGCGCCGACCTCCTGAGAACATCGATTTCGGATGCTCTTCGGCTGACCACGAACACTACACAGCCCCCCCCCACCAACCCCGGTGCCCAAATCAGAAAGAGGCAGTGAGAAAGGACGGACACGGACCAGACGCTCATCAGCCCGACGAGTCAGCGAAAAGACGTGGAGAGGCCCGTCAGCATCTTTGCGTTTCATCGTGCGACCCCCAAAGGGGAGGTACTCTGGCACTCGGCGCACATCATGCCGTGTTCATGTTGCTCAGACCATGAGCAAGAGCCCGCGCCTCATCGGAGTAAATCTCGCTCTCCGGGATGACACCAACCTGAAATGAGATTTGGACTTGACGCCGCGTGCTAAGCAGCATCCCTGCCGCCCGAACCTCCTCATCTCCCATGTCATCGACTGGGCAGACATTCGTCTCTTCAAGTCAATTTGAGATCAATATCCGAGGGAGGGCACCGCCGTCGTCATCCGGCGCTTCATCATCCTTTCTGCTATGAGGTCGAAGACATGCGTATGAGTTCAAGGTAGTTCCATCATGTTCCATCAGAGTCTGTTGCCTCGAACTCTACTTCCAGGCAATCCCCAGTCTGGAACTCCGTGTCAAGCTCCTGACCCATATTGTCACGAGATGGTTGGCGATGCTCCTTGAGCCTGCCTGCCCCTCGGCGCCGCCATCCCATCCGACAACTTCCATGGCCTGATGCGCTGGGAGACAAAGTAACTATGCAGGGTGTCTTCAGAGGTTGCCTCATCCCCACGTCCCTGCTCCTGGGCCATGGCCTCACGACGCTCAACTGCAAAAACCCAGGCTGCCTCTTTTGCCGGCCTCCAGAGTCTTATCAGGAGCGCGGTGTGATGCGGTGCGATGCGGTCTTGTGGAAGTTGAGTAGGGCTGACAGGGCTTTTGTGTTTGTATGGATGTCAACAGGTGTGCTCGCACTCTCGATGCAAAATCCTGCAAGTGCTAATTTTCAAACGGCTGGCATGGAGTGAGAATCTGAAGATTGAACTCTTCACGTGTTTCTACATGCTGCATGCAGCGGGCCGAAGGGCTCGGCAAAAAAGGTGATTTGTCTTTACTTCAGAACTCGTCAGCGATGGAACACAGCAGGGAGGCACCGCGTCGGAAATATTGTCACCGAGAACCTGTGCCTCGGTATGCTGCTGCGAAGCGTCAACACTGAAGCATTACTCTCAGCTCTGAGATCGGAACGATACGCTGCAAGTTTGTCACGTCAATCTTCTTGTCCCTGCAGAGCGGTAGAATGTTGACGCTCTGCTGAGGGCTTGACCCGAAAGGACGTAAGGAGGCAGGTGAAGAAGCCGGCACCTCTGTTGTGGCTCGAGGTCGTCCAGATAGTCGAAGACCTCCTGCATGTTGTCCCTCACAGGGTGCATCTCGAGAAATCGCCCGAGTGAACTCCTTAGCCTGTTAGGGGATGAGGTGCATTGTCGGGCTTTTTCAGCACTGTCGCGTCGGCCGAAGCTGCGAACTCCAGCATGAACACCGGCTTCCCTTCAGGATGCCCTGCGCCGCTGGCGTTGAGATTCACTGGGTGTGAGTCTTGCGCAGCATCTGCAACGGGCATTTCTCAGCTCCTTGGAATTTATTATTGATTGACATAGAGGCAAGCCACCGACTCGGTTTGAGAAGGCCGATACCTCTCTGCAGAGAAACTGCCGGAAAGCAGGTGCTTGCAGTCATTATCAGATCATGTCAGATCCAACCAGGTCCAACCGCAGACCGTGACAATGCCGCGGTTCTGGGAGCCGATGTTTGCTCCTGAGCCGAAGGCAGAAAACACATCACAAACCTGCCTGCGAGGGGCCTGCGTGAAGGAACTGTCTGCAGCCTGAGTTCTGTCAGACTCCGGAGAGAAAGTTGTCCAAGGTGTCGAATCGCCTCAGCCCCGACTCTTCACGCGACCCTTTCCCCTGTAAGGCTTGAGATGTCGAGGCACGACCTCGTCTGATGGACCTCAGAACTGCAGAATCCTTGTCTCTGTGTCTTGGCTCGCGCATTTCTGCGAGGCGCTGACCTGATGGTCCTGCTCACTCTCGGACATGTCAAGAAAGGCCTTAAATAGCATCTGCTCGGCTGCCACAGAAAATTGAGCGGCAAGGAAATGTTGCAGAACTATCTGCTGTGATGCCTGAGACGGAAGCGTGCAGTGGTGTCACGCTCTCAGCCGGAGCTTCAGGAGCCTCAGTTGAGCTCGTCGATGGTGCCTCCTGTGCCAATACCGGATTGGAGAATCTTGACTTCAGCGCACTCACAGCTACAGTATAGCAACTTTGCGGCATGCAGCAAAGCCCAGTGTGGTACGGAGGTAAGGTCCATCCAAACAGCCAGACCTCATAAGTAACCCTTCGACAGTTACAGCATTGCGAAGCATGCTTCTGGTCGCTGTCCTCGGTGCACCCGCAAGACTGCTCGTCTTGCCGCACGCCAGCAAGCCTAACCTTGCACTTGCCAAGATCCTGGCAAGAGACAGCCTTCAATGACTGAACGTCTCAGCAAAGTTGGCAATGTCTCACTCCTGGTGATGTGAGCTGCTCTCCGGGCCCGCCTCAGGCAAGGCAAGGCTGATTGGAGCAATGACATGCGCGAGCTGCCAAAACACCGCGAAGCTCTCAGCGAGCCACAGTTGCTACATCTGCAACGAGCGGGCCTGCTTTTCTCAGGGAGTGAAGGTTCAAGTCATGCAAAGGCAAGACGCCAAGCCTTCAGGTGTCCGGTGCCGAGAGCAGCACAGCACCTGGCTCAAGACTTCCCAATGCCAAAGGAGGTTGCCCACAAATCTAAGCTCCAGTCCCCTGACAGCTCTTGGAGGAAGCCCAGGACCTTTCAAGTCGACTCGTCATGTGCCACTGAGAGAAGGTCGAGACCGCTGCCATGTCACATGGTCTCCATTGATGTCATAGCCTGCCAAGGGCCACGGCCACTCGTGTAGGGATTCAACGCAACAGGTTTAGGGTTTAGGGTCCAACCTGCAGCATCAGCAGGTCTGGCTGCGCCCCCGTCTTGAGATCAATGGCAGCAGCATAGCAAGCTTATGCAAGCTTATCGTACACCGCGATGCCACGCCAGGAGCAGAACTTCGAATCCATTTTGTGCACTCCAGACAAAACCTCGCAGTCCTTCAGGCCTCACACTGCGAACTGCTTGGTCCAAGTTGGTGACCCTTCTGCGAAGATCTGCCCTTCCAGCTGAGTCTACAACCTGCCGACAATGCCTGAGTCACACACGTGGGTCTTTGCAGACTCACAGTTCTTTTTGTTACGGCTGTGGCGCTCAATTCCCCAAGTAACTGGCATCGCGCTTCAGGCCACGCCCGATAAAAAGCAGCTTGCTCTTCGGAGCAGATGCATTGGGGGCCTCTCCCGCCAGCAGAGGCACAAAAGCACATGCACAAACGAAAAAAGATGCACCAAGGATACCTCCTCGATTTCGAAGAGCTTGCCGACACCTTGCAGCGCCTTGGACATCTACATCGTCTACACTAAATCCGTACCACCACACATCTTCTTGGGCTGGAGCATGTGCTACCGGTACTTCAGTGCCGGAAGCCTCGATCTGGCCGCTGAACGATGCTGCACGCCTACTGGGCAAGCAAAGCTTCGACCTCTGCATCCTCTTCCGAGGGTCCCCTTGGTCGTAAGCAGGCATTACGGAATGGGAGGCCACGCAAGAGCCCAAGCACAGTGAGCCTGAACAGGCCCTTGCAGCGGTACACAAACCCGGCGGAGCCCTCCACAGAGGCTTCTGAGATGCTTCCTAGACGCTCGGAGCGCCGAGCCCGGCCTCCCACAAGACGTCTGCGAGCCAGGAGCGTACCTGAGAGCAGACTAGGGTCTCGTTTTTTCCCAGCACAGGAATGCCAGGCGACCTCGCCTTGTCAGGATGATAAAGCGTCTCTGCCTCATGCAGAAGTGTGCTTTGTCGGAGGTACCATGTCAAGATGAGTATGAAAGCTTGCCGCCTCGCCATGGAGGAGGACGCTTTCGATCCCATGTCCACCGTGAAGAATCCCGATCTGCAGCGCTGCTCAGTCGCGACTGCCGCATGCAAGCACAATTCCCTGAGGAGTGCGGTTCGGGGGCAGGGCCGGCTGCTCTGTGTCGCATTGGGAGCAAGGGGCGGCCTCGTCGGAGCCTCACGGCATGTGAGAGCATCCAAAAACGGAAGGTTTCGATGCCTGACTTGTGGGAATCTCATTACACGAGCGGCTCTCCAGCTGGCGGCTTGAAGCTCGAGGGCCCGGCCATGAGAATGGCCATGAGAGTGGTCATGCGAGTGGGAGTGGCCGTGGCCATGCTCCACCTGCTCCAACTCCCGACACCACTTGCATCTCCGACGCAACGAGGCCCTGGCCTCGTTCGTGCACAACGTCTGCAAAGAGGCTTCCAAGCCTGGAACAGTTCATTGAAAACACGGCCGCGGCTCAGCCGTTGTTTGTCAAACCGAGGCCAGAGCGGTCCCTGCTAAAAGCTCGCAAGCCCAAAATGTCGACCAGGGACCTGTGAGTTCGTATCACAGCTTTTGAAGACACTCGTGGCAAATATGGGCGAAGATCCGGAACAATTCAGGAAAACATGCGACGGCTCAAACATCAGCCCAGGACTTAAGGCACAAAAACGAAGTTGCACTAGCACTGTGACCACGATCACCAGCACCACCACCAACAACAACAACCACTACTACTACTACTACTACTACTACGTTACTACTACTACTACTACTACTACTACTCCTACTGCTGCTACTACTACTACTACTACTACTACTAGGACTACGACTACGTTACTACTACTACCTACCTACCTACCTACCTACCTGCCTACCTACCTACC